GAAAAGTTTGGTATGTCAAATTCAAATCCTGTTGTAACTCTGACGAACCCTCAATTCAAGCTGATTATAGATCAGTGTCCCAGTACTGATGTCGAAAGAGATTATATGAATAACATTCCATATGCTAATGTAGTGGATTCTTTGATGTATGATATGGTATGTACTAGACCTAACATAGCATATGCAGTAAGTCTTGTAAGCAGGTATATGGAGAATCCTGGAAAGGCTCACAGGAAAGCATTGAAGTGGATTCTAAGGTACATAAATGGGTCTCTGAATAGAGTTCTAATTTATGGTGGAGCCTTGGGTGAAGATAGTAAAGCAGTAATTGAAGAATATGTCGACTCTGATTATGCAGGTTGTATGGATTCCAGAAAATATATTTCTTAATATGTGTTCACTATGTTTGGGAAATCAATCCGTTGGAAAGCTATACTTCAGAAGGTCGATGCCTTATAAACCACTGAAGCAAAATATATCGCCCTAAATGAAGCTGCGAAGGAAGCATTGTGGCTTGAAGGTTTTAATAAGGAGCTGAAACTTTAAGGTCGAGTTATCACTGTTAAATGTGATAGTCAAAGTGCAATACATCTGTCAAAGAATTCAGCCTATCATAAGCGAACCAAGTACATTGATGTGAGGTTGCATTCTGTCAGAGGGGTAATCGAGCGTGGAGAAGTCCAAGTGCTGAAGGTTTCAACAGATCATAATGTTGTTGATATGATCACCAAGACGTTGCCTAGTTGCAAGTTTTTCCATTGTACGCAGTTGATAAAGCTGCATGAAGAAATCTAGTTTCTTGATGTTATAGAGTTAGATCCAAGGTGGAGATTTGTGAGATGTTGGATCAAACTCTAGTATGTTGTCGGTGTAATGTGTGTTGTAGTCGAAGTTTGTTCTAACATGTATTAGTAAATATTGCTAGGTTTGTTAGCATGTTGAATTGGGCCTTGCTTGTAAGCCCAATTGTTTAAGTTAGCTTGTAATGGGTAATTGTTAAAAAGCTCATTAGGTTAGTGTGCTATTTTTCTTATAAATAACATGCTAGTCTCTCATTTTGCATAAGGAAAAATAGGAAGATAAAATCCTAATTCAAGAGAGAGAGGTTATTTGTTATTCTTGTATACTTGTAATCTTTTTTGATAGATAAAGGAAAGAATAACAGTTTATAACCAATCCTTGTTGTTTCTTCTTGTTCTTCTTTCTTGTTTTCTTTGTTAGCCCTAACCCTTGTGTGTTTCTTGAATATAAAGAAACCGTTTATATTTTGTTTCAAGGCATTCTATTCACAACATATAATGATAGCCGTTGGAAGATATAACTTGTAGAAGTGTTTTTGTTACTCCATAGTACAAGAGACGTTGAAGATAGATACACCAAAAGATCTTTATTCATTGTGTTTCTCTTTTAACCATAGGATCTTCCTTGTGATCTTGTACTATATATCCATTGAGGGTGATATTCTTAAAGTATGTAAACTCTTCTTGAACCATGTGAACACAAACTCCAACTGACAAACTGATTTGACATTTTGGCTTGCTTTCTGCAGTACGAATAACTTAGCTTTGTCACTGGTTCTGAATAACCATTAGAAGCTGATACATTCAATAAGTGTAGATATAATATATTGCTCTTCTAATGCTGATACCTTCACCTTTAGAGTCTACATCAACCTATATTATCAGACTTCAATTAAAGGACGTTCTTCAGTTATGAACCACCAGAAGCCAGTAACTCAGCTTCTCTCAAATGTGTCCTTTTATCAGATTCTGAGTAGATTCTTTTTAAGCTTTAGAACCTGCATACTTAGAACACATAATAGATAACACAATTGTTCTTTCAATACTTTTTTTTTATCATCAAAACCTTAAGGAATACTTGTCATAAACAAATCTTGTTCTAACACACATGTCATACAGTTTCAAATTTTAATTACCAGCAATAATTTCTATTATTTTTATAATTTGGCTGGTAGTTTTGAAGTCTTTTAAAAATACTGTTATTAAATGAGTCTTTTATTGTCATATGAACGTACACATTATAAACTAAATAAGCTATAAACTATAAGTTAAAACGCTATTTAAAATAGCGTATGGAAAATAAGCTATAAATTAATAAAATGTAACCTATAAACTTGTAATAAAAATACAGTCATTAAATGATTCTTTTATTGTCACCTTTCATTTTTATCATGGTAATGGAAGGCCTAATTAGATGATGAAGAAGGAAGAGGAGACAAGTTTTCTTAAAGGGTTCAAGGTGAATGAAGCAACTACATACAATATGGTGCAATTTGCTGACGACACTTTATTTGTGGGAGAAGGTAACTGGGAGAACCTTTGGTGTTTCAAGGAGCTTCTCAAAGGTTTTGTAATGGTTTCAGGATTGAAGGTTAACTTTCTCAAAATTAGCTTGTGTGGGATTAATTTACAAAAAGAATTCCTTGTTGCTGCTTCTACTTTCCTCCACTGTGCGACAAGTTCAATTCCTTTCAAGTTTTTGAGAATAATGGTAGGCGATAGTCCGCTTAAAGCTAAGCTTTGGAATCCTGTTCTGGAAGTGTTTAGGAAGAGATTGACGGTGTGGAAAGGCAAGAATTTGTCTATAGGGGGAAGAGTGGTTTTGATCAATTCAGTGTTAGCTGCCGATTTTCACTCTCTCGTTCTACAAGGCTCATGTGGTAGTTTTAAAGGAGATTATCAGAATTCAATCCTGTTTCTTATGGGGTAGTTCCTTAAACCATAATCCTATACATTGGATCAACTGGAATAAAGTGTGTTTGCCAAGGAGAAAGGAGGTCTTAGGATTAAAGATATAGCTATGTTCAATAAAGCTCTTTTGCTCAAGTGGAAATGCAGGTTTTTTTCTCAAGAAGGAGCGTTATAGAAAGGAATTAGAGCATATATATTCACCTCTGAACTCGAGTATGGCAGCGGAAGTAATGAGTTATGCATCGGTTGACCAAAACTGTTCGAAGTCCATATGGTGGAGGGATTTAATGTCTATTGGTTTTTAAAGGGAGTATCTGTTGGATTTTTTTTCTAGTAACATTCAGAGTAAATTAGGAGATGGAAGCAAGATTCCCCTTTGGCATTGCAATTGGATGGAGAATCAACCTTTCAAGGATGTTTTTTCTAATCTTTGTTCAGTCTTTTCTAATCATAAGAGATGTGCGGCTAAGACAGATTATTGGATCAGATCGTCGTGGCACTGGTTGTGTCAGGTTCCTGCTCTCCCTCATGGCTCTGCTCTGCAGCAGGAATTGGAGGATCTGACTTTCTCGTTGGCTGAACGCGGACCTATTTTGCAAAGTAAAGACAATTTTGAGTGGATCCTTGAAGACGATGAAGTGTTTTCTGTCAGTTCGTACTATTCCTTGCTAACTCAAGCCAACCAGCATTATTTCTTCGTAGAAGAAGTAGTGGCTAAGCCATTGCAGTTTCTTTGGAGCTCTAAAATTCAATCCAAAATTCAGATGTTTTCTTTGAGAATTTTATTGGGCAGAATTGCGACAAAGGATCAGTTGGCGAAAAAAGGTATTATTGTTGGAGGTAACAGTCTAATTTATGTTCTTTACGGTTGCTTAGATGAAAATATTCCTCATCTTTTTCTGGATTGCATTATTGCTCTTAATGTGTGGAAGGGAGTGGAGAAGTGACTTGAGATTGAGTTGGAGAGTTTCAACAGTTGTGCAAACTCATTGATTTTCTTTGTCTGTTTGCTGCGTAATAAGAAAAGATTATGAAAATTTCATATGATCATATGCTGTGTGGGTTTTATGGAGGGGTAGAAATGATTTTATTTTTAATAGTTTGGATTTTGACGTCGAGAACTCGTAGTACTTGATTAAATTACTTTCTTGGAGATGGTTTTGTTTAGAGGTTTGTCGGTATGATGCTTGTTCTTTTTATGACTGGTTTACTTCCCCGATAAATTGTTTAAAGCGGAAGTAATTTCTGCCGAGCTCTTTTATATGAATTTTGGATATTCTTTGTGCTCTTGAGTGAATTTCATTGCTTATTTAAAAAAAACCACTCCCTCCATTTTTATTATAACTCGTTTTTGATTTTTCACATATTAAGAAATGTAATTATTATGGTATGAAAAGTTTTATAAAATAGTTTTTCATTAATGATATTAGAAAGACAAATTTACATAATTAAAAGGAGAGAGAATAATAAATATTTAAGGATATAATAGAAAAAAATAACATTAATAGTTTATTAATATTATAAAACGACTTATATTTTAATACAAAATATTTTCTCAAAACGACTTATAATATAAATTATAATATAAAGAGGTAATATAATCTTAAAAAAATATATCTTGCAGAGAGTCTAGTCAAATAGTGAAATGCTTATAAGAACCATGATGTGTAGGAACACTTAATTTCTTAAAATAAAATGAGAAAACCTATTACTATAAGTTTTATGTATGCACATCAACACATATTTCTAGAATAAATAACATAACTATGCATTTATGACCCTTATTAGAGATCTATATTTTTGAGAATTAAAGAGAATGTCTACCTAGTGTAATGTGTGAAAAAAAGTACTACTCAATGTTATAATGCTAAGTTGATGAACATAACAAGATAAGATAGAGAAACAAATAACACTCCAATCTTCATTTAAAAAGTTAATTTATTGGAACAATTTTTTTTAACAATTTATTGGACAAATTAAAAGTAATATGTTGGCTAGAGATGAGCCGTAAATGGTGCTTATAAATTATAAGCAATTCTTATTATAAACTGGCCTTCTGGGTTGATTGTATTATGTATTGGATCCTAGAATACAACAAACATATGATATGTCTCCACTCATGTTTCAATATACAAACACATATCAAAAAGTTTTTAACAAACAAAAAATGTCATATCCATGACACAAGGAGAACGTTAAGAGTTTATACTTTATCTAATAGCATAACAAACTCGCATCAAAAATAGAAAAAGAAAATCAGGATTTCACATGCATGCATTGCACTACAAATTATTCGCACTGAACAGAGACCTTAAGCTTACACTTAAGTGGGAGTTCCAAGGCTTGTTTAGGATCAATACCATATAAATAAAGCAACCCTGAATCCTTGTAACTACAGATGCATTCAAGATCAGCCTTAGCAGTTGCAGAGCAGCAAGCGCGACTAGGTTTACGAAAATTACTGTCGCCAGTCACGTATGGCTCGCACGATTTCCTCTCTTCTCTTGTCATGTTACAAATTGTCATACTATTAGATAAAATAGCATTACCAATTATGAACAACATTCCCACAACCAAAAGCTTCTGGAATGCCTCCATCTCTATATATAGAGATATTTCTTAATTTCAATGATTTGAGTTTATATAAATAAAACTTGGCGCATATAAGTTGTAAGAACATAATATTGAGGATAGTAAGTGAGTTCAAGGCTCTCTAATTATGTGCATGAACGTTTTTACTTGTTAGATTCCCGTGGGGCAAGGTCATAGTGTCTTTAATGAATTGGAAAAGACAAGAAACATAGTATAGTACGAATTAATATTATGTGATGTCTCAATCATTCAAAAAATATATGTGATGTCTCAAAGGTGCATCGATCAGACAATCATTTCAATTATTTTTACAGCTAATTTGATGGTTATAACAAGATTTACAAGTGTGAGGAATGACAAGAAATAGACCATAATGAATTTGTATTCAATATAATGATGGAGTGTTATTTATACAAAGGAGAAGAAACTAAGGAGTAATGTGTTCTTCACATGAAGTCAATCTTCAACATCTATATTTTTATTATCAAAAATGCTATTCTTAGACCATTTTTTACGCCCAATACTTACACCGTATGCACTGTTCACCGTATTTATACGGTGAACAGCGTTTTTTAATTAAAATAATATATATTTTTTAAAATATTAATTTAAAAAAAATATTTATTTTTAAAATTTATTTTATAACACAAATATAAGATTGCGCATTAACCAACTTTACAGTTGCATTAACCACAAAAATCTACATCATTAACCAATTATTTTACCTATAATTTATTAACCACTTTCACTATTTCATTAACCAATAAAATACACACTATTAACCATGTTCTGAGGAATTTGTTCAAGTATTTGTGAATAGTGAATTGGGTGTAGGGTGTAGAAAATGGTGTCACCATAGCATTCCTATTTTATTATTTACAAAATTAAATCGCATGCCCCACATTTTTTCTTGGTTATTTGAGAAACCAAAATAATATATAACAATTAATACAAGAAATTGTTTCATTAAGCAGGAATATTTGCGAGGTAAAAAACCCTACTAAATATCTATATTGTTTGGGGTTTATTCCCTCACAATGTATAAAATAAAAAAACAAAATTAATAAAACAAATTGTGTGGGCAACCCATTGCAAATGTTAAGGAAGGAGATTTTGAAATTTGAAATTGAGCATTTGCGAAGAGACACCCGTAGCTAATTGTTTCAGTAAATTTTGTGAGGGACAACCCCACACAGGTTTTGAGATCAGTCTACCATTTGTCCCGTCACAACTATTTCGTGTCAGTCACTTTAATAAAGGTGTTTACATTTGCGAGGGACACCCCCTAGCCATATATTTATGTTGCCAGCCATAATTTTTGCTGCATTCGCGAGGGGCATCCCCTTGAAACGTTTGATATGCCTTTGCACATTATCCCATCACCTGAGCGCGTGTCAGTCGCTTTAATAATGTCATTACAATTTGCGAGGGGCTACTCTTAGAGTTGTTTAATATTTCATTCAAGGTAGATATTTTTTCTCTATTTTTTTAAAATATAAATATATGAATCTTTGAATATTTGTTGTTATTTTTTTGATATTTGTTGGATATTAGTTGATATTGGTTAATATTTTTTTAATATTTATTAATATTTAAATATTTTTATATTTGTTAATATCATTTTAGAAATATTATATTATGTATTATTTAGTATTATTTTTGAAATAATACTATATATTATATAATATATTTCTGACACACTGGGCTAGGGGCTTTGCATATCACAAATGCCAAAACATAAATGCATTTGCTAGGTGCTTATCCCCTAGCAAAATACTAATACGACTGCGTCACTAGATTATTGAAATAAGATTTGTTTATAGTTTTAAAAGGTTTTGATCATAACAAAGTATTTAGAGAAAAATAAGGTTTGCTAATAGTTGTTCAAGTGTGCACGATCATAAGCTAAGAATTCATCATGAATTAATCATGTTGAAAGAATTAATGAAGAAGTAATGCTACTCAAATTCTGAATGATCAAAATCTAAATATGTTCATTGGCATCTGAAGGTTCAAACTCTGGTATGCTTCTGGTGACAACTCAGACCCCGAAGGCTTAAAGAGTGTTTGATCCGGACTCTGCACCAGAGGTGATCAGTCTTGTCAAAGTGACAAATTTCTAAACAGAGCCAACTAGTGTTTGGTTTTACAAAGCTCAAGGATGGTGATGTAAGTTCTTCAGTTTGTACTACCTTTTAGTAGATGCCTAGTTACTCAAAATGTGATGTGGACATTACTTTTATTCAATGGACAACACTTCTAATTGAATACAATTCTCGATGCTGCTTGAGCTGTTCACCTATACGCATGGCTATCTAGTTCCAACTGTTATGATTACCATTTGAAATAGTGTGGTTAGAAAATATGATTAAAATATCTTTTTTTGCAACGACTCTAAATCTGTCTCGGAGCTAGTTCTTTATATCTTCAAACAAGCTACCTCTAACGGCTATTTTCATGTTCCTATAAAAAAATTTCAAGGATATGAAGAAGATAATGATTATACTGATTATGCTAATCAAGTTGGTCAAGTTGATTATTATTGGTCCATTGTTGAAAAACTCAAAAAGTACTTAATATTCAAATACTATGGAAGTCTTTGAACAAGTTGTCAATAGAACCACACAACAGAAATAGCTTCTGATACAAGCAAGAACACATGTATATTTGTTAGCTTGTACATAGGGTCTTAATATTTCTTATCAATGTTTATCTTAGAAATCTTAAATACATCAAAATATGTGTTGTACCTGTGCACCACTGATAGGAGAATCAAGTGCATTTGTATTTACTATCCTAAACTGCTGTTTAGAATCTGTAAATGCCTTAGACTTAGTGTTTGAGAAAAGGAGTCTCTTGCATGAGTGCTTGAGCAGGAAGTCTCATTCAAGTATGATTGAACATTGAAGTTTCATGCTTGAGAGCAGAGCAGGAAGTCTTGAACCAAGAGTTTAAGCAAGGACGTCTCATTCTAGTTTGATTGAGCACGAAGTATTAAACCAAGGGTTTAAGCAAGGAAGTCTTGATCCAATGGTTTAAGAAAGGAATTCCCACTCTAGTTTGATTTATCAGGAAGTCTAGAACCAATGGTTTAAGCAAGGAAGTCTCATTATAAGTTGATTGAGTAGAAAGTCTTGAGCAGTTAGCTTAAGTAATTAAAATCTGTTAATTATAGTGAAAATCTCTTGTGCTGCAAGGGGAATGGACTACTCTTGAGTTTTGAGGAACCAAGATATATTGTGTATCTCTTTATTTACTTATGCTCTTACATTCTGCGGTGCAAACAAACTCTGAAGTCATAAGTTGATCTGATTTAACCTCTTACTTGGATCATAATCTGAGCTTCACATCTTAGGTTCTGAAATGGGTTTAAGAAAAAGAAGTAAACTTTTCCACACACAATTCAACCCCATTTTTTGTGTATATTTTTCTCACCTTCATAGATTTCTCATACACCTGCGTGTCAGTAGATGGAAATTTAGAGATGAAATTTTGAGAGGGGGTTAGCTCCAAGCTAAATAGCCACATGGGAAGCTCCTAGGAAATTATTTGCAACTCCCTGTTTAGCTAGGGGACTTGTCCCCTCACAATTTTTTTTTTGTTAAGGGGTTTTTTCTAATAGTGATGAGTTTAACCCTTAGCTAAAGTGCTTTTTCTTGTAGTGAATTATCACCTCGGTTATTATTAATAATAATTGAGGGTAAACATTGTTATTACTTTTTCTTCTTCTATATTTTAGTTTGAACTTGTACTACAAAACTATATTTTGCCTACTTCTAAAACATAAACATTTTATGTTTTTCCCATTTCTCAAACAGACACATTATACCAAAAATTTATTGTGTGCACCATTTGCAAAGTCAAAATGGTACATGTACACCTTATAATTTTACAACAAATTAAAACTAAAATAAATGATTAACAAAAAAAATCAATAACCAAAGTGCAAAGTCTTGTAGGCCATCAAAAAATTCTCTTTAGTGATTTGTCACCGGTCGTTAAGCACCTATAATTTGAACCACATTTGAACCCAATTAAGATCATCAATAACAACTACATTAAATCTTCAGTAAAAAATATGAAAAGATAAATGAGTAAATATATATTACTAATTGATATAAAACAATTACTTAGTAGTTTTCTCATATCCCCTCTTGATGATCATGACGAATATCATTCACATCATCATCAAAATCATTTCCTTCAGATGAGAGACGTACATGTGTTGCAAAAAAGGGGTATCAAAATTTAAATCTTGACTTTTATCACTATTAGGAATATATTTTTCTTGTAGAACAATTGACCATATTGTGTTAAAAGGATCAGTGACATAAACAACTTATTTTTTTTGGGATGCCATGATGAATGGTTCGTTCATATAAGTTGTCTTTCGAAGACCAACCAATGTGAATCATAATTCATCGGTGTCTACACAAGTGTTACTGTCAATCCACTTACACTTAAATAAAGGAACTTTAAAAGTAACATAGTAAATCACCATAATCTCCTAAATGACCCAAAAGTACGCTCTAGATGGCAGTACAAGATTCTTATCTTTCGATCTAGAGAAGTACATGGATTTATCTTCAACCATAACCCCAATATTTTGCACGGTACTATGATCATCGTTTGATTTTCTATTGAATGAATACTTTGTAATTTCGTATGCACTCCAAGTTATTAGATTAAACTTAGGAATATATGACATCCATTTTATTGTCTCTGATGCACTACCCTCTTTAGAAACCCTTTACAACACCTGCAAGTTATGAAAGTTTTGTTATGCTCTGTCAACAATATTTTTTTGCTTATCCAAGGGAATTTTCCCTTGATAAGACTTTTGTGAATGGTTAAGTAAGGTTGAACTTTAATAACGTTATTTAATATATACAAATGTATTTGAAGAACTAAATCTTGGCCAAATGTCTAGACATTTAAAACTTGAATATATCTACCATAATATATTTCATCATGACGAGACTCGAGAATTCCTATAGAGTTCGCGT